ACACTATCTATCCTTCTAGGGGCATCCGTCAGGGGGATCCCCTTTCTCCTTACCTTTTCATTTTATGCATGGAATTTCTTGCTTTAAAAATTTCTATCGACATGGATTATGGCATCTGGAAAGGATCTAAAGCTGGTAGAAATGGCCTTGTTTTTTCCCACTTATTTTTTGCGGATGACGTTATTTTTGTTGGAAAGGCCACCCTTGAAAATTGTAACTATTTAGTTTCTCTTCTTGACTTTTTTTTGTTCCAGGTCAGGCCAAAATATCAACCATAATAAGTCTCGAGTATTGTTTTCCACTAATGTGGAACCTCACACTCGCAACTTATTATGTAATATCCTTGGAGTGACCGAAACGAATGATTTGGGCAAATATCTGGGCATTCCCATCTCCCCTAAGAAACTCAAGAAGAGCCAATGCCAATTCATTATTGATAAAGTTCGCAGTAAACTTGCTAATTGGAAAACTAATTTTTTATCCTTTGCAGGACGTGTTACTCTAACCAGGGCTGTTCTTGATTCTGTTCCTAGCTATTACATGCAGTCATCCCTTCTCCCTATTTCTGTTCACTCGGAGTTAGACCAACTCTCTAGAAACTTTATTTGGGGATCAGATGAACAACACAGGAAGATTCACCTTATTAAGTGGGATACAGTTTGCCAACCTAGACATCTTGGAGGTCTGGGATTAAAAAAGTCTCGGGATGCAAACATTGTGGCTATGTGCAAGCTCAATTGGCGTTTGCACTATGAGAAAAGCAACACTTGGAGTAAATTGTTTTGTCGAAAGTATTCTATTATTGACCCTCGTGATCCTCTTCCTAATCATGGATCCCCTACACTCCAAGCCATGAAAGAAGGTCGTAGCCTATTCCAAAGAGGTTTAAGATGGATTCCTCGTAATGGAAATTCTATTTTCTTTTGGAATGATTGTTGGGTGGGAAACCAACCCCTCTCAAAGGTTTTTTATGGGCCACACCTCCCTTCACCAGATTCCCTTCTTCTTGCTGATGTTTTGTTGGATGGCTCAACAAGTGGCATTGCTTATCACCTCCCGCAAGAACTCTTGGCTCAAATGCAGGCTATTCCTATTGCTACCAATAC